TTCTAAAATTTGTTGATATTCATTTTTATGATGTTTTGAATAATGAGTTTTTAAGTTACTAACTTGAACTTTAATATTATAAGAAGCATTACAGATATTACATTTAAGTTTAGTTTTTTCAATATTAGGATAAAAATGATTTTGAATTTCATGTGTGTTTCTCATTTTGTTCATTAAATTTTTTTAATAAATATCTAGTTCTTAAATAATAAAGATTTTTGTAATTATTATATATTTTAAAATATAAATAAACATTGTTATCAGTTTATCTATTTATAAAAAAAAATAATAAATAATAAATTAATTTATTTAAAAAGTATAAATATTTATTTTATACGTGTTATTTTATTCATTAATAAAATAAAAATAAAATGAAAGTTAAAACAACTTATACTAAAAAAACACATTGTAAAAATTGTCGTGAACATAATAAAAAATGTATTTATGAAGATAATTATAATACATGTATAAATTGTAAAAAGCATGATTTTTTGTGTATACGTTATAAATCTGCTAACACAGATCTTGAAATCACAAGATTTACACAAGAATTAGAAAAACATCAAATCCAAATTAAGAATTTAGAAGCATGTGTTTCATGATTAGAACGTGATTACCACATGATCAAAACAAATCTTAAACAACATTAATTATTAGATATTCAACTTGAAAATTTATTAACTTAATTTATTAATTAATATTAAATGTATCTTATTTGTAATTAAATGATTTTATCTTATATTTTATTAATAAATTATATATACTTAAATTTTACAATACATAATATATTTAATATATTGGAATTTTCTCTATAAAAAGACAAGCTTGCTAAGTTAAAAATCTTCATCGAATTTTACAATTTGATACCAATAACAAGAGCTCTACAAGCAGTTCTTATAAGATAAAGATATAATAATAATCTTTATTATAATAAATTCTTTATCATAAAATGCAACAAGATATTGTCACACATTTCTCTCGATTTGTAAAACCTATTCAAAAACATTTTCATGAATCTTTCATGATTATTAATAGTATTCCTTGGTGGAATATTGATTTCGATAAATCATATGTTTTTTTTTATTCGAAAAGAGAACAAAAAGAAAAATTCGATACTTTAGAGCATTCTAAAATTATTCCTTATTACGATTTTTTTAAATGTAAATGTGGTACTCGACCATATCTTGGAGATGATTTAAAATGAGAATTTCATCCTCATCTCTGGCAGTATGATCCTCAACATAAAGATTCTAAATGTTCTTTTAGAAGTCATTGTGAATATTTTAAATTATTACAATCAGTTGATAAAACTTTAC